GAAAGAATATTCAGAGTAGAAATCCGTCGAATGTAGGAATCATTTTCAAACGAGTCATTGAAATGCTAGTGGCCAGTCTCCTGAAAGTAAGATTTAGTGCATTTCAAAATGGAAACGTTTAACACGTTCCGTCTCGAAGTGCTAGACTTCGATCAGAATTATGACGGAGTTGCCTTTGTTTGGACTCCTGCCATGAACCATTATGTGATAAGCTTCCGACGCCACAGTAAACTGAGCAGGAAGGTCTGGCTGTGTAATTGGTTATTGTGAAGGACAAAAAGCTTTTTCTAATAAAAACTTGTCAACCTAGTATCCATCACAATCGTCGCTTCATTTAGGAGTGAGGTGGTGGGATTGTTCAACAACCACATTTTGCTCTTTTTTTCCTACCCAGCGTAGAGTATTGTGTTTTAGAGCGGATGCGTAGAACTTACGGCTTCATCTGAGATGCTGCGAATCCGGTTCCCGTTCCAATCCATAAGTGTTCGCCTAGCCGACTTTTTATGCCTTCAAGAGAATGTGAGTTCCAAGCTTTTTTTGACCTTCGGTGGGATTCATTCTCTATCTTTGAGAAAATGGTGTTTTCTTCAACTGTTGTTAGCTTTATATGACTATATTTTCATAAAGCGATATGTCCTCCGGCTGCTATGTGTAATGCCTTCTCCTGTGGGTGCCATACTTTACGACTGTCTTGCAGTTCGAGTGAAGCGAGAACATAAGCGCATTCGAGTGCAGGAGGTGAAATGCAGAGTAGTCGCAAATATATTTGCTCACTAAGGAGTCCAATTCTGTGATGAGGGTCGATGCGAAAAGAAAAGAGGCTATCACAACTTGAAAGACAGCGCGAATATTTTTTGCGTTTCTCTGGCCTTGGCTTTAAGGTACTCCGCACCACTGAACATTGACACACATTGAACTGCTCTCCAGTACAGCGATGGCCAGGCTTTAATGTGTCCTTAATTCGGAGAAGACTTCCCCTTTACTTTTACTATTTAATATGACCACCTAGAGCAAAATATTGAAGGTATGGTCTAAAGCGGTGGCGGGGTCGCAGGATTAGGGAGATCATTTGGTTAAGCCCCCACATTGCACTTCTGTCCGTCCTGCAAGATTACTGGAACGGCGCCAAATGGCGCTACCATCACGCATCCGAGGCTTCCACTCACTAAGGCTGATAATTATCAAACTTAAAAGAAAAGAAAACTTTGTCTTAAACATCGCCTGACCGCGTAGTGATATGCAGGCCGAATACGCATCCAAATGCTACTACGAACTCAAACAGAATTCGACTGCATTTTGCAGAGAGCTTGTTCAAACTTTCAAACAATTGATTGCTGATACTGAGTTTGACATCATACCGTTAAACCATAACCCCAGATGATTCAAAGTGCTGCCCTCGACTGCGTCCCCTGGCCTGAATGGTGGTTCACAGCTGTAGCGACCTTGCACGATCACACTTTTGCCACTTGAAAAAGTGGCTCACACACCCTTCCATTCCATTTTCTGAATCGCCCTTATTCCTCTCCCCCTCGCTCAGTTATCTACCGTTTGGCACCGTTGGAAACGCGGTAGGCGTCGTTCTCTAATCGTCTGTGCTCCAAGTATTCTCCAGAGGCATAGAGTGAATTTAAACTATCCATAAACCGTGGGTACAGTCGATATCCGAAAGTTGGGGTAGGTGTGTCACCGGAAGTGACGTGCACTTGATAGAAGTTGCGTGGATAAGCTGTTGCCAGCATGCTTTGCTGATATCCAGCGATGTATGTTGGAAGCAGCTTATCCACATAGCTTCTATCAAGTGCACGTCACTTCCGGTGACACGCCTACCCCAACTCACGGATATCGACTGTAAGATAATGTATAATAGCTCGCGATATATATCACATATGTGCCGTTGTCGCCGCAGTAAGTACGTGGTAATGGCGCTAGGACCTTACAAGGTGAGTTAATGGAAGAAATTCTTTACACACATCCCATGACACGCAGCGTGGATTACGACGTAGCGGCTAATTCAAATACGCACGGGTTAGTAGAGCCGTGGAGCAAGCATGTTCGGAAATTAGTCCGGACGCCCCCTTCCTCATTTCAAAGGGATGAGAGTCCTGTTGAAGGGTTCCATCTCTGCTTCTTTTCCATTTTCATTCAACTCGTCATCTACATTTTCATTATCGGTCGCTGTTACCCCACCAGTTTGATCTGTGGTAGTTGACGTCGGACGCCCTTCACCTGCCTGACCGCCCACATCCCCAAGGAGCCGCCCCTCAACCAGTCATATTGGGTTGCACAGCTTGATGTGAAGCCCCCCACCAGTTTGATCTGTGGTAGTTGCTTCAATGAGAACCGTATATCTTACATAAGATAAGTGTTGATCAACGGGCTAATTGAGGGAAGAATTCCGTAAATTCGCTACGTAATTGAAAGACAGGTACTACCAGTCATTCAACTGTTCGCACGGCTTTGTGTCAACATTATTTTCCGCGCTGGAGTCAACATTGTGTAAGAAACCACATTCCGTGAACAAATTCGTAGAAATATTGTATACTGAAAGTTTCCTGGAAACGAACCATCAAAACTCATTAGGATAATCATTTTTTATTTTGAAAATTGCTCCATGTTTGGCACATTGCTTCCTTTATAGGATTTACTCAACGACACAATTGTGGATTTCTATCTCAACCATGTTGTAGAGCATATTCTTCCTGATGAGCCGTGAGTTTTTCTTCCAATTTTTCTTCCTCTTCAATCTCGAATCAAAACTAATGAAAAGGCCAAAAATGATGGTACTTCAGATTATGGTGTGGAATCGTATTTTGAAAGAAAATCGTTCTTAACAAATTAGCAGCAGTCAAGGGGTGTCTGTAGTCTGTATAGTTATTGTCTTAAATAGAACAAATCATTTCTTGTTGAATGAGTAAGCTATGCAGTCGGCACTTATGATCCTTCTGACATTCTGTTTCTAAGGCTGTGAAGGTTTCTCAAAAATTCATGAAACAGGCATACGATTTCTGACAAGATCGAGCTGGCTTTTTAGGAACAAACGAGTCACTGTTCTTCCCTCGGTGTTCTGGCACAACTTGTCAATACTTCATTCTGGAGCCCAGGTCGATGATGCAGATGTTTCTCTCACTGATGACCAAAAGGTGTGGCTTTTTTGATCAGTACAATAGGTGGTCTAAATTTTAAATGATACATCCGATCAGTTTGCAATTTTGAGTTCTCGTCACATTATCAAACTTCAGCTTGATGCCCGATTCGGAGATGTTCTGGATTTTGTCGAAGATTTCGACTTTATCGATGTTGATTATATTGTGGTGCCAGTAAATGAATGGGAGCATTGGTGAGTGTTTCTTCTACAACCTTTTCATTATATCAGGTGCAAACGTAGCCATATAGGCTCAAGTAGTCAATTCGCTCGATATTTAAGAGCGTGGAAGTAGTGTGTGGAGGTTAGGGTGTCTCGGAGTTAGATTTGTTCGAATGTTACTCTTCTTTCAGACATTTTATTTGTTTTAACCATAAACAGTGTGTAGAAAGTGTACTTAGGTCGTTGGTGATTGTATGTCACCCATTTACTGCTCGTGCAAGAATGCTCTGTTTCGACTCGCAGCTGAGCGAAGATCCAAATAACATGCAAAATATCGCTGTTCTCTGTGACGATTTTCTGAAGGTAATTTGGATTCCCGCTACATTTTATGCGTTTTGCTCACATGTTTGAAAATCTTGGAAATGATTGCCATGTGTCCAGTATGTGTGGTCTCGACGTCGTCAGCAAGCACTTTGCTCTATGGAGAGAATGCGCTGCATTGTTCCGGACCACCTACCTCAACAGAGCAACAATTACGACTGCGGACTATACATCGTCGAATTCGCTCGCCGATTTCTTCTGGCACCGCCTTCTAATGTAAGTCCTTCCATACCACCATTTATTCCAGAATGTGTTATACCAGTCCTACTGACATGGTGTGAGTCATCAGTAAATAGAGAAAGTGGCTGCTCAGTTTGCGGCGATTATTTTGATAGCTGGTTTAGTGTATGTGGTGCAATAAATTCGGATATGCTCGACCACTGATCACCACTCTCCAAAAAACCTATCCAGCGCCGTAGTCAGAAATAATTTGACTTTTGTTATTTCGGTGTTATTTAGTTTTCATAATGTAGGGAATATTCAAAGATTTTGTCAAAACATACCGTTATTTATAGTAGAACCTTATCAGACAAGAAAGTCGTTAGCGGGAAAACCTTGTTAAATCATAGAATGCCCTCAAAGGCAGGTGATGGGATAAATTGGATTAGAAAGCTTGGTGCTTTGTCCAAAATGGAAATTGGCTTGCAGGTTGCGTGCTCTCATCTTTAATATGTTGGAGACCGCGCACTTTTTACGTTTGGCGGCCGCGTGGGACTTTAGTGAAATTTTTAAAAATCTTCCAAGCAAACTGGAGGAAGAAACTAGTAAATGATTCAGAAGAAATCTCATTGAATGGAATGAAAAGGAAGTCCATGAAAGAACTTACCCTAATTTTCAAAACATGAGCTGTAAGGTCGCACATGGTCGGCGGACTGCAGCCCACATGTGGGCTTCATGGGCTCCAAAGAGGAAGTCACGGAATTATTGAGGGGGTAATGACGATCAAAAAATAACAAATGTAATATTAGGTTGTCCCATAATTAGTGAATCACTTTGGGTATTTTTGAATTCAAATTTTTTTCTTTTTATGTGGAGTCTTTGCTCATCCAAACATACACCTCTGTCATCTACAATGTATTGCCTATACAAGGAAATTTAGTCGCTGTCTTTCTCTAGAATTCCAGGAGCTATTGATCGAAGAAAGATCGGAAGTCGAGTTTGAGGTCATGTCACTTAGCGTAAAATTTCTTCCTGGGAAGAGCGCTAGAGGTCAGACTGAGTTGTCTTTGTTGGCACGAGGATAGGGCCACACAGAGGAAGTGGAAGAACTGCTAGCCTGAAGAGTCT